AATGTCTTTAGGTTGTTAGTCTTTAAACTAAACTTATTAAGTATCTTTATAGCATGCCTAAAAGGTAGTCTCTTAACTAGGTAGAAACCTTAGTAATCTTTATTAATAGTTAATGCTTTAATACAGCGCTTACTGCAAATCTAAAACTCTTATAGGTACTCTTTAATATTTAGATTAGACCTTACTTAGCACTAGAGAAGCTAGTGCTTAAAGTACTTAGTCTAAGCTTTCTATTAGTCTTTGTTATTAGTACAAAAGAGCTTTCTAAAAGCTTCTCTAAACTTCTTCTAGAATTTAGTAACTAGAGCGTTAGAATATTTATTTAAGGCTTAGATAATTACTCTCTACTTAGGTTTGTAGTGCGCTAAAAGGTAATTAATCTTTATCTTATCTATAAACTTATAGTACTTTAATATATTCTTAAAACGCTTAAGAAACGTAGTAACGTTAGTTCTATTAAACACTAAAACTATCTCTAATAGGTACAGAGAAAGCTAGGTAGAATAGACTAGAGGGCGATTGCCTAGCTACTAGAGAGACTAAGCTATTATCTAAAGAAGCTTTGCTATATTATTATTCTAGAGTTATACTAGAGGTTATACCTAAGGCTACTAGCTAGTAGTGCCTAAGAACTCTAGAATGTCTAGTATCTTAATATTCTTCTAGAATAACGTAGGTATTGCTTTAGGTTTTATAGGCTTAGTTTAGAGAAGTAAAAATAGTTATTTAGTAAACTAGGCTTTTAAAGAGGCTTTAGCAACTAACTTAGATTATTTATTAACCTTAGTCTTATTAGATTAACTCTTACTTATTTATATAAAGTAGTATATAAGTATTATAAATAGTATAATAGCTAGTGTAAATATTAAACGTATAAGTGCTGTTAATTAGGTTTAACTATTTACTTACTAACAAAGTTAGGTATTCTTTACTAGAAGAGCTATTACTGCCTTTTTTATATACTATAATAGCTTTCTACTACTATCTTATTATTTAGCCTCTTTCTTTCTAGCTATACTAGAATTAAGATCTACTACGTTAGCTCTTCTAACCTTTTTTAAGTCTTATTATTTATTCTTAGTAGAATAATATAGCTATATACTTCTTATTATATTATTTTCTATCTGTGCAGCTGTCTAAGAAGTAATTAGCTTAGTTTAAACCTTTTGTCTAGCCTTTTATGTTGCTTAGCGTAGCGCTACTATAGCTATATTATTTATTAGCCTAAGTAGTAGTTATTATTATCTAATTATTTATATTATTAGAGGTCTTTTAGTGCGCCTACTTCTTAGGTATCTATACTATTAGGTTTCTATAGCTTGTAGTTTGCTTCTACGCGTCTCTTAGGTATACTATTCTATATATTATCTTATTCTCTATTTTATATACTTACCTATTACTTATTTTATTATATTACGTAATAATTGTATCTCTTTTAAAGCCTAGTTAAACTATTATTCTAATAAGTCTTTAGCGGGTAAAATACGCACTTAAAGGTAGCGCGCAGCCTTTCTAAGGTAGAAGACTAAATAGGTTAAGTTTTAGTTAGTCGCTATATATAGTAGAGTAATTAGAAGTATCTCTATTAGAATAGGTACTTAATATAGTTAATTATATTGTGTATATATATGTAGTTGTTGTTCTTGTCTAAACGCTGTTTAGACCTAGCTTTCTCTAGCGCACTAACTCTCGAGCCTAATAGCTATTTAGACTATTATTATGTTACTAGTTTTACTACTATAATAGATATAGTAGAGCCTCTCTAAAGTAAGAAAAAGCTACTAGATAGTTTTACCTTAGCTAAGTATAAATATACTATATATACTACTACGCTATTAAAAAATATATCTATTAAGAATATTATCTATATCTATACTCTACGCTAATTATCTCTTTCTATATAGTTATTAAAATATATTACTACTTCTACTTTAGTTTAGAATAGTAAGAAGTTAGTATATACCTACTATAGAATATTAAGCTTTAAGTATATTTCTATAGAAATTAAAGTAGAGTTTAAGTATATAAAAAGTCTAGTATAAAAGCTATATATAAATTAAAAAGAGTTATATTATACTTAAGTAGAAATAGTCTACTTAGAGAAGGTAGTAGTAGCGCTATAGAGTAATATTATAATAGAAAGGCTAAAGATAGCTAAAGTCTTAGATAAGATTAATATAGCTAAAGTAGAAGTAGCTTAACTCTATAGTTATATTAAAGTAAGTAAGAGTATACTTTATAAGGTTACTAAAAGCTATAGAACTATTATTAACACTAATAATACTACTAAAGTTAACTACGCTAATTTAAATATAAATAGTATACTTACTATTAATAGTAAGGTAGAGAATAATTAATAAGCTTTAGTATATAATAGCTAGAATAGAGAAATAATAACTTTATTCTAGAATATATATTATACTTATATAGTATAGACTTTCTTCTAGATATATAGTAGTTATATTCTAGTGCGTCTTCTATCTTCTATAAGAACCTTTATATATAAAATAACTTAATATAAGCTAAACTTATCTATTCTAATATACTCTCTATGTAATATACTACTATTATATATATATAATATATTATATCTTATTATAGACTCTAGCCTACTTATTACACGTATAGAATAAAAAACTAAGGTAATAAATTTTATAATAGATTTATACTTAGATACTTTAATATTTAAGATAAAGATTTTATTACTTAAATAAATATAATAAGTTTATATTAGGTATAGATACTAAAGGTATATATTATATAGAGATAGAAAGGTTTTATATCTAGCCTAGATAGTAAAGTTTAATATTAGAGTTAGATAGTAAAGGTTTTATATCTAGATAAGAAGTAAATAGTTCTTAGTACTTATATATACTCTAACTATAGGCTAGTAGATATCTTACTTTATAGTTAGAATTATATAAAATATATAAGTATATTATTACTTATATAAAAGTATATTTACTTTATATAAAGTTAAAAAAATTAGTAGTTATAGAATACTTATAAGAAGATTAAAGTTTAAAACTTTAACTTAGACATTATCTAGAGAATTTTATAAACTTTAACTTAAGTAAGCACTAAAAACTAGAGTAGTATAGACTACTTATAGTAGACTTTAACTTAAAGTCTACGTATCTAATACTAATAGTTTTACCTATATTATATAATATAGACTTATTAAGTAGTGTATACGTAACTTAGAATAACTAGCTCTAGACGTTGCTATTAAGAACTATTAGTAAAAGCGCTTGCGCAACGTTACGCGTGCGCAATATTACGTCTGCTAGCAACTTCTATATTAGACTACCTACCTTTAACAACCTGTATTTAAAGACGAACTACTACCGCGATAACTACCTACGCTCTCTTACTATTAAACAACCTTGGAAATGTACAGCCTGATCTTCGTCCTCTGAAAATAACTAGCTGTCGGCGTTGAGATGTGTATGTTGGACTAGGACATTGTGACAAGAGCAGTTATAGTTGCTACAAGATACAATTGCTCGCGCGGCCTTCCAAATGAATTTTCGACCCGACCTCACCACCCCGATATCTCACCAGTATATACAACCAACTTGCCACCGTACTCCTTCTTTGAGGCCTTCGCAAACACCCGCATCATGCCTTCGCAGGAATCCTCAACCGAGACCGGCGCCTTCTCGCCCATACCCAAAGCCTGGGACGCGCCGTTGCCCATATCTGTCGAAACATGGCCCGGGTCGAACGCAAAGCAGTTGAGCCAATCCTCCTCGGCGTTGATGCGAATCGTGTACCAATTGAGCGCTGTCTTGGTCGGCGCATACGCCGCGTTGGGAATGGGCAGGTGGTTGCTGGAGTCATGGTCAAACGGGTGCGCGAGAGAAATGTCACGTTCACTTACACCAACAACCCCGCCGACGACCCCATAGGCAAGAAGATTGGCTCGCGCGTCGAATTCATGAGAAATTCGCGCGTCGCTTGGTATAGCGCTATCACGCCATAGACGTTTGGTTCCATGTGCGCCCTGATGTCCGCAATCTTGACCTCGGCGACAGTGGGCAAGATGTAGCTGATGCCGGCGTTCGCAATCACAATGTCGAGGCGATAGATTTGGTGCTTTTGCTGTAGCTCGGTGACGGCATCATGCGCGTCCTGCTCGATGCTTGCGTCGAGCTTCACAACAATGAGCTGGCTGTCGGAACCCTTGGGCAGGTCTTGCAGCGCCTGCGCGGTCGCGTGCTCCGGGTTGCGTACTGCGGCGATGACGGTGTGCGAGGGCTTGGCCAGGAAGCGCTCGGTAAGGCCAAGACCGATGCCTCGGTTGGCGCCTGTGATGAGGACTATGGTGGAGGGCATGTTGGTGGGACGGAGTTGCAGTTCTCGTTCTCGCGTGTTGCTGGTGAGTTACGATTGAGGTGGAGTCGATTTAAAGGAATAAGAGGTAGATCCCTGGCTCCACGGCAGGATATCCATCTCTTTCTCGGCGGGTGGGAAGATACTTGTAGCTTTGGGACGTTGGGCCAGATAGGCTATACGAACATCGCGGACGTGCGAAAAGGATAAGGCGCCCAACGCGAAGATGACATATCGGCGTACGAGCTGTTGTAAGCCATGTACGAACTTCGTACCTGCATGTGTAGGAATCATCGCCAACAGCCTTCCGATAGTTGTCGCATTTCTAAGCACGGCGCTACCCGCCAAGGTTGCTTAGCGAAGTCGAGCCGCAGATGCATGGACGCAAGGCTGTCACGTCGTTCGATGATGGTAGCGGAAACGTCGCGTTGGGGTACGCGCTCGATGTCAGGAACGTAGGTGTCGTCTTACAACACGATCTGATCTCGTGAGTGCGGGAGGTTGTTGTCGCAACGCTAACGACGCGTCGGCGCGACTCGAGCTTCCACCGCGCGGGATGGTGAGGCTGACGTCACCGCCAACCCACCTCAAAACACCACAGGCGCCATCGTCACAATGTCATGTTTCTATCTAAGATCGCGCGCCCTCTTACGACAAAATCCACCATGAAGCTCGATCCGGCAGTTATCAGGGTCCTCGGCCTGAATCTTGACAAGACGCACGTCTCCTCCGCAGGCGGAGGCGGCTCGAGCTCGGCATCGACGTTGAAGATCACGTCACAACTCGACGATGGCACAGATCAGGCGTTCTTCATGAAGACTGGGAGCGGGGAAGAGGCCGAGGTCATGTTTCAAGGTAAGCGCAACCTCTAGCACCTCCGGGCTGGCTAATCAACTGACAGCGCGCTGAAGGCGAGTACGCATCCCTCCAAGCCATCCACGACGCCGTACCATCTCTATGTCCTCAACCCCTCGGTCACGGACGATATGAATCGCAGCCATCCACATCCTTCCTCGTGACTGAATTCCTTCACCTCACGGGACGATCGAGTTCAAAGTCGAAAACGCTATCGCTGGCAGCTAAGCTCGCAAAGCTACATACCACGCCCGCGCCCATACCAGAAGGCTGCGACAAGCCTGTGTTTGGGTTTCCGGTGACAACGTGTTGCGGCGATACACCACAAGATAACAGCTACAAGGGGAGCTGGGCAGACTTTTATGCGGAAAACCGTCTCAGATCCATCCTACGATGCGCGGAGCAGAACGGGCGCAGGGACGGCGACGTCAAGAAGCTGGTTGAACAGACCGCGACCATGGTTGTACCCCGCTTGATTGGCGATGACCATCTCAATAACGGCGAGCGTGTTACACCTGTCGTTGTGCATGGCGACCTATGGAGCGGCAATGCAAGCGCAGGCGTCATTGGTAATAAGAATGGCGAGGTTGAAGACGTGGTTTACGACTCGTCGGCATGCTACGCGCACAACGAGTTTGAATTAGGCGCCATGAAGATGTTTGGTGGCTTCGGTGGAAGTTTTCTGGAAGAGTACCATCAGCTGTGTCCAAAGACGGAGCCCGTGGAGGAATACGAAGACAGAGTGAAGCTATATGAGCTCTACCATCATCTCAACCACTATGCAATGTTCGGGGGAAGTTATCGGAGCGGCGCGGTCAGTATCATGCGAGATCTTGTCAAGAAGTATGGTGGTGAAGGATAGGTCAAAGAATTGATAGTGACAACGAGTGGTCAAGTATCTACATTGGAATGTACACCAGCGTCCTGCCGCCCCGTCCTCAACAATCGCATTTGTCTCGCCTTGTAGCTCACACGGACCAGCAATGCGAGTTTACAAGACAACCTTGATCCGCCTAAGCAAACCCAGAGGCCTGGATAGCGAAAGAAGCCGCCGCATCCGCACTGCTGCCGTAGCTGAGATGGCTTCCAGTAGCACCGCCATCGCCACCACCGCCGCAGATCTGATCAGCAGTACCGCAGAACTGCTTGATCTTGTCGGCTGAAAGACCGCTGATAGCCTGGCGCTTCAATGGGTCTCCGAACATGACAGCGCCGCTAACATCGGTGGCAGAGAGGCCCTTGCTGAAAGCATTGTGAACGACCATGGCACCTTGAGAGTAGCCTGATACGATGACCTTGGTGTCGGGGCATTGAGACTTGGCCTGCTTAACCAAATCGGCCATCTTCTGGCCACCGTCGCCACCGAGGTTAGCGTTACCGGCAGCAGAGGCAGCGTAGTCAACACCCTGAACGGTAACACGGTCGTTACCCAGCTTCTGGCGGATAGCCTTGAACATGGGTGGTCCGGACACGGATCCGACGTTGCCCATCTCTCCGGTACCACGTGCGAAGACGATGGTCATATCGGTGCAGCAGTTCTTGTCCACGATACCGTTTTCGCTTCCTCCGAAGGCGTTGGACGATCCAGATTGGGGCTTGCAATCTGTGCCAATCGTGCCGGCGCCACCAGTGTTGCCTCCGCTCGTTGCTGCAGGTGCTTCAGCGGCACCAGTCTTGGAAGGTACGGGAACAGCGGCGTCAGCTGTTGTCGTAGCACCACCAGCACCGCCTCCGAGGCCTCCAAGACCTCCAAGACCTCCGAGGCCACTGAGACCCCCGAGACCTCCACTGGAACCTCCGCTGGAACCTCCACCTAGACCGCTGAGCCAGCTGCTCAACCCCGAGCCACCTGTACCGGTGCTACCTCCACCTAGGCTGGGAAGGCTGGTCGGAAGTGAGAAACCTCCGCCTCCGAGGGAGGGGATACCGGTTGGCAAGCTGAATCCTGATCCTCCTCCAAGGCCACCAAGGCCACCAAGCCCCGAGCCTCCACCAAGTCCACCAAGTCCTGAGCCTCCACCTCCGAGAGAGGGGATGTTGGTTGGGAGGCTAAATCCTGATCCTCCACCAAGGCCACCAAGGCCCGAGCCTCCACCAAGTCCACCAAGGCCACCAAGACCAGAGCCTGATCCACCAGTCGGTAGCGAGAAGGATGGTAGGGAAGGAAGCTGGGGATGCGGGAAAGCAGTTGCAATGCTAGCAAGAGCGAAAGCTTGAGCGGCGTAGAACTTCATCTTGCGATATTTTTCAAAGAGTTGTCTGTTTCTGTATAGACCACGTCGTTTGAGAAAAAGAATGTAGGTGCACAGCACAACAAAGAACAAGAATTGGCGCGGAAAGCGAATGTAGTAGAGATGGAAGCGAAAGTGCGGATCGAAGTCGATGCCCATCAAACTTCTGTTGGAGACCACCATCTTATACAAAACCTCCACGGCTGCCTTCCTCAGAGGACCATCGCAGCGAGTTGCGCCTGTGGAGTTTCGAAACATTGCTTCTGCGGCGGAATGTGATGAAAGGAATGCCATGGCGTTGTCCATCAACGCGACCTCGGGACGTTATTGTGGAGTCGTGGCCCCGTTTTGCGGGAAGAGGGCTGATGTGTACAGGGAAGCGTGTGCATGATCTCCATGTCTGCCCCGATGATTACTGAATCTGTCAGGTGATTTCTACGTGTTTCGTGTTTTGCTGGCATGCGATTGGGAGGATGTAAAGGGCGCGTTTCTGCGATCAAGGATGGATGTGGGCGCATGACTCTGCCCAGGTGGGCAGTAACGGTTTCGATCATCGAGCAGGATTCACGTTGCGTTAGCGGCGGATGGGATGCTAGGGTAGTGTAGCATCCTCGACAAGTGGTACATGTCATGGGTTTGGGGTGTCGTGCGCAATATCCCCTTCGACATTCTCGCATCCCGCCGAGACATGCGGCAGTACGTCGTTTACACGTTGGAAGCCGAATATACAATCTGAGCTAGACACAGCCTTTCGGGGTGGTTCACGCAAAAATTCCGCTGTCAAACATGTCTGCAAACGGAACCTTTGCGTCGCTGTTTCTCAGCAAGCCATGTTGGCTCAGCTATCAATGCCTTGCATGTTCTGGAACTCGCCAGCGATCGACATGTGCAAGATGGCATCATCCGCTAAAAGCCCCAAGCATCCTTCATTTACCAGCCATGCTCTTCTCATAGGTTCGAACGCCAGGTAATTAATCGGAATACCATAGGGCTGTCCCATCCATGTCGACGATGCGACGTGCGACCCGGGCCTCGGCAGCCACCATGTGGGCCGTTTCACGATGATGCTGGTGCAACATCAATCATGAATCGTGGGTTTACTAACAAGTACGTCTATCGACCCAATGAGATAACCGTTTTGTACCTCACATCCGAGGCTGGCTTATGTCTCGTGGAACCTCTTTTTCATACGCTATCGCGCTATCACGACGACGTTGCCCGCTGTAACGTGAGATAGCGAAGTCTGAGTGAAGAGATCGATGACATTGCAACATGTTTGCTTTTCTCGGTTGCGCGTAAGCCTAGGAACCTGCTCTAAATCTCTAGTCGTAAGCACGTGTGTCCGCAGGCGTGACGTTACTGCGCGTGAAGAGGCGATGTTCGATGTGGAACGAGATGTCGTCCTCAACGGCCCGCTAGCTCGGTCAATTACTCCCCGCCTCGCATGCATGCACCAACCTCACCCCGCAGTTAGCATTCACCCCATCTTGCAGCGCCAAGTCGCATACCACCCCTCAACAAGCATACCATCATCACCAACTCCCCTCCCAAACAAGACCAACGCCCATCTATTCCATAATCAACATGATAACCGGCATTCATCACATCAACCTCGTAGTCCCGCCAAACACGCTCCACCACGCCACCTCCTTCTACGCATCAACCCTCGGCCTAACACCACGCACAGTACCACACCTACAACGCGAAACGCTCGCGTGGTTCGACATCGGCAGCTCAGGTCAACAAGTGCACATCGCGATCGGCAAGCCTGAAGATTTCACACACTCATCATCCCGGCATCCATGTTTCCGGGTTGGCAGTGTAAAAGCGCTGGATGAGCTGAGAGCAAAGGTATGGGAACATTATGAGAGGGGTGGAGAGGCGGCACCGTTGGAAGCAGATAGACCTGGTGCGAAGAATAGTGGGGCGGAGGGAGTGGAGTATCCGACGAGGTTTTTTGCGAGGGACTTTGCGGGGAATAGACTGGAGTTCAGTGTGTGACGAAGGATTCGAGTCACCACTGGACTGTGGTTGTCGACCGCATCTTCTTACCATTCTATAGTACTAGACACCGCCTACCTATCTAAGAAGCAACATTGCAGCTACCGCCTCCATTTCTAAAAATCGATTAGCAATAGCATACAATTCACATGACGAACGCGCAACGCGATAAATGTGAAGAAGGATATATAGGATTTGACTTTCGCTCTAACGCTACAAGAATGTCTTGTTAGGAACAATAACTATAGACAGAGCGAACCGCGTGATGTCGAACATGCCATCTCAGACCAGCAACACTACAGCAACCAACCCAGCAACACTCGCAATAGTGCCTAGACTTACACCCACCGCCCCCGCCCCACCCTTCGCATTCAACTTAACAACCGCGCCCGGAAAACTACACGTCAACCGATCCGGATTCTCATCCCTAACCCCATACATGCCCATCCTCTGCACGCCATTCGGACACGCAAAGCCCATCTGCGCAGGACAACTCCTCACAATATCAAAGCACATGTCTTCGCACGGCTTCAGCTCCTTGTACGGGCCCGGATCAATCTCCTTATCGATTTTCGGGTTTCTCGACTGGGTAAACGCAGCGCTATCGTTGAACCCCGGTATCATATCCGGCACGCTCCCGTTGGCAAACGGCGTCTTAATATTCCGCGGTACGAGAGACGGGTCTGTAGCAGTCCAGTCTTCGCAGCGGGGCATGAGGACCATGCAGAGCCAGTTTTTGTAAGTTTTGGCGCAGTCTTCGCAGGTTACGGCGAGGGAGTATTGGGCTTCGGAGACTGTGTCGCAGGCGACTTGTGCGAGGGAGCGGGTGAAGTTGGTGTAGTAGTCGCGGGCTTGGGTTTCGTAGATTTCGGCGAGGGCCGAGTCGTTGAGCTTGAATTTGGTGTTGGAGGGGACGGCGTAGGCGACCATGTCGCAGAATTCGAGGTCGAAGAGGACTTGGCAGGAGTCGTCTTTGCATATTGTTAGTATAATTCGTTAGGCTGTATTGTGGAACACTCACCAGCTTTGGTCGTCCAGTTAAAAGCCTGAAAGACTCTGCCTCCGCCTCTCGTCGTGCCCGTGTCAGGAATGGTGAGTGGCTGTTGGCTTCCCTCAATGACGACGAATCCGTTATATGTCTTCGCACTCTGCAGGTTTCTGACATGGAATTGGCTCTTGGGCATGTTGTCGTCACCGCCAATCTTATTGAACTTGGTGGTGATGCTCGTGTCAATGGTGAAGTTCCTTGTCGCGTTGACATTGAACTGCTCCTTAAGCGCACAGTAAGAGCGTTCCAAGCCCGTAACTGGAGTCCATTCACCGTCTGGGAAGGCGTACATATGGAAGGGGTTTTGCGCCCTCCATCTATCGACTTCCGCTGTGTCGTTCGAACTGCTCAGGTTTTGTGATATGAAGAGGGTGGACTCGCTGTCCGTGTCAATCATGTAGAGGAAAGGTGTCGCGTCGTCGTAGCTGTGGTAAGGTCCATCTGTGCTTGCGGCGAGTTCGAAGTGCCAGCTCCCAAACCAGTCTTCCTCGAGCTTGGGCGCCCCGATACCGATGTATACGTCCGAAGTGGTGTTGAGCTCGAAGCTGGCGTAGCCTCCATCGAAGAGCACGCCCGTGATGT